TATATATATATATATATATTTTTTTTTTATGTTTTCTCAGAGTAGACTTACATCCCTTCATCTTGCTGCCCAAGAAGACAAAGTAGGTGTTGGTGAGATTTTAGTTAAGCATGGTGCCAACGTTGACCAACAAACAAAAGTAAGAAGAGTATTATAATTTCACAAAGTAAGATATTTTCCCCAATAAATATCACCAATTCTGACAATATGATCTCTATTTCAGTTGGGATACACAACGCTTATCGTTGCCTGTCACTATGGAAATGCTAAGATGGTTAATTTTCTGTTGAAGAGTGGGGCAAGTGTCAATGCTAAAACAAAGGTATTTCTTAATCTATTAATTTTTAATATTAATATAAAGAACATTTTTATATTTAAATGAATAAAAAATACTCAAACTATTTAACTACAGTATAAATTGATTTCCACATACAAAATGAGTGTAATATATATTAATTAGACAAAAGATAGCAATGTGTTAAAGGCATATTGTGAAATATAACATTTGCTTTCTTTTCAGAATGGTTACACACCTCTACACCAGGCTGCACAACAAGGAAACACACACATCATTAACGTCTTGCTCCAGCATGGAGCCAAACCCAATGCCATCACTGTGGTGAGTAAATACATACACATGCAAACATACAAACACATACTCCATTTAAACATTTTCTTCAATAAAATCAGCATAAAATGGATCCTATTGACTTTTTTAATACATGTTCCCCTGAAAAAAAGAAAAAAGTTTCAAAGAGGGGAAAAAACAGCAATTTTCTAATCTCATTGTTGCTATTATGTCATTTACTGTGTAGAATGGAAACACCGCTCTTGCCATCGCACGTCGCCTTGGTTACATTTCTGTGGTTGACACTCTGAGAGTAGTCACAGAGGAAATTATCACTACAACAACAGTAAGTTTACCCAAGGATATGCATTTATAAGACGTTCATAGAAATATATGCATTGTGGATTTTAACTAGATTAACAATAACAACAAAAAACACATTTGTTTCTATGTAGACAGTGACAGAGAAACACAAGCTAAATGTGCCAGAGACCATGACAGAAGTCCTTGATGTGTCTGACGTAGAGGGTGAGTGTGACTAACAATTATTTTATTCCCTTATTATTTTATTTAACTGCTTTATTTAATCAATCAGTAAGTCAGTCACTCAATCCCAGAATATTTCCTCAAGTATATTGGCAAATCTGAAGTTCACTTGCAATCTCATGACAAAATTTCAGTTGTGTGTATTCTGTTGTGATTGGGTTTCTAATGTGTATTAACGTGGAATTTTCTGTAGTTCCAAGACAGGTAGATGATGGGGCTATGACGGATGACTTTATTGATTTTGAAGGTATAGAGTGACAGAGCATGGATTGGTGTGGTGTAATAGCTCAACCTTTATAAATTATCTTGCAGGTTTTAAATATATTAATAATAGTTGTATATGCAAGAAGTGTGTGTGGCATGATGGAATTGGCTACCTTTAAATATAGATTACTAAATGACTGTCTAACCTTTGTGGTGGTTAATGATTTTTCAGGAAACATAATGATATATATTAAATGCATTGTTTTATTTTTGCTGTCATATATTGGAACTGTAATGTAGAGCTGCACGATTAATCAAATGCGATTGTCATTCACATTTTGTTAAAAAAGCGGTTCTGTAATCAGCAGGAAATCATCATCACGTGCTTTCAGATGGAGCAGAATTTACTACACATAGCCGTAGTTCACTGACAAGTTACGCAAAAAAATCGCGACGATTATTAATTCGAAGAAATCTTTCGCGATAATGACAGCTGTTTGCATAGCTTCTCAGTGCACTACGGCTGTGAAGTAAATGCTGCTCCATCTGAAAGCATGTGAAAATACCACATTTAATAACACATTTTTACTCCAAACTCACTTCATAATGTCAGTCAGCGCCCTCTGGCCTTTGTATGGAGATTTACTGCTGATCACAGAACCGTGCTTCACTGAAAGATACGCATGACTATCGCAGCTTCTGTCGAATCGCGATCTCGATTCCATTTCGATTTATCGTGCAGCCCTACTGTAGTGCAGCCAGTGAGTTAATAAGCAGAATACTAAACATTGGTGTATTTTTATAAGTTGAAAATAATGGCTGAAAATGTGGTTCTAATTATCTCGTCTTTGAAAAGGTACAAGAATTCCCAGTTGGAAGTTAATGTGTAAATGTTAAGTTACAATGTGTAAAAAATTTTAAAATGTGTACATACGACAAAAGTGTGTTAAGGCATGGCTGGAGATTTTTTGGCATTAGATTTATGAATATCAGCTTTTAGTTTGTCACATCCTGGCAAAACGTCTCAGGTTACTTATGTAACCATGGTTCCCTGAGTAGGGAACGAGAGACTGCGTCCTCTAGGGGTCGCTATGGGGAACACCTCGTCGTGACCCGTGTCTGAAGCATACATTGAAAAAAACACCAACAACACGTTGGCCGACGACAGCCCATGACGTCACTACCGGTGCGACTATAGTATAAATAAGCGCCGGGAGCACACATCATTCACTTCTTCATCTGAAGCTTGCGTCCGCAGCATGGCAAGAAACCTAGAGGACGCAGTGTCTCGTTCCCTACTCAGGGAACCATGGTTACATAAGTAACATAAGTAACCTGAGACGTTCCCTTTCAAGGGAACTTCGAACTGCGTCCTCTAGGGGTCGCTATGGGGAACGGTATACCCACGCCGCCATGCTGAGGGGAGTGCAGGCCAGAACCATGGCGAGCACTAAGTACCAACTTTACCATTTCCATGGTGAGTTGCCCCTGGGACGTCAGACGGCTGTCCGTGACTTTATCCCCTACGGCCAAAGGCCTAGGCTACATACCAAACTTATGTATCGGTATCGGTATCGGTATCGGTGCATCCCTAATATATATATATATATATAAAATGGATCATACTCACCCACCATGGTTCCCTCGCCGGAACCCCGCTCAAAAGGCGATTCCAGAGAAGCCTCTAGTCCGGACCATGAAAGATAACGCTCATCAAGATGACCCCGCGGCGCCACTTTCTTGGCCCGCTTCCAGCTCATCATACGCAGGGCAGGAGGATTGGGAAGGCTCAGCCTCAGCTTTCCTCGCAATCAGAGATTGTGGGTCACATTCAGCAAACAGATAGTAACTCACTGTACTTTTTATATATATTTCAACAAATGACAAGCAAAATCAAATCCCTAGGAGCTTGTGAACAGTTTTGAAGCATTTTAAAATGCTGGTTTAATGTACTAAGACACTGCTAAAAGACATGCAGATGAGCCAGAATATTAACGCGACATGTTTAAACGTAAATAGTTTCCCTCTCTTTAGAAAACTGTAATATAGAAAGCGCTTATGGATTAAGACATTGATATTTAAAGTTCATATTTTGTGCTCATCTGTTTTTCTGCACATATTATGCTTTATTAATAAGATATGTCACGTGTGTACTGTCTCGGTGCATTAAGCGTGTTCTTTAACGTGTAAATAAACGCATTTCGTTCATATTTTGAGCTTGTATGCATATCTGCACATAGTATATGCTTTACAATTTTGTCTTTATTACTGTCTTGGTCCACTTAAGCTAGAAAGTCCCCTGTTCAAGTTCTGCTAATCCACAAGCCTAGTGAGAGTCATGCTCGCAAAGAAGGTAATTATTAAACCAACAAAATCAAAACTTTCAAAAAACACACAGCAATGTGATTCTTTTATTGAATGAGAGTCAATGGGTTTAATCAGTGACATTAACAGATTTACTATTCAGTGTCTTCTCTGCAACCTCCTTCCCTAGGTGTTTTTACACATAGAAAAGGCGAAAAAAACATATTGCATTGTCCAGTTTTCTCTCAGAACGATGATCTGAGTTCCTGTTGCAATTCTCGATGCAGCATGAATGACATACACTGGTGACATTTTTCACAATCACGACAAACAATCAAATACTGCCCTAAACTCAATAGCGGAAAGGCAGCGCTATCCTGCAAGTATGGCGGACAAACAAAGCAGTTTCCCAGAACTCAACGTGGCGTTACGTCACATTCTCATTCTTTATAAGCGACATGGGATTCTATTTTAGGAACGGTTTTTATTTTCTGCGACGTCGCGGCAGGAACAACATACAAAATATGACAGTGATAATCTCAGATAATGATTATGTGCTTTATTCAATATTATTTTGCATTATCTTTATAGCCATAGTGAAAGCAACAATAGATATTCGGGGATTTGTTGTGTCGCACCGCATCCAAGACAGCATCACTGATTATAACTAGTTCTTGTATTTTATTGTGTCGCGCCGCGCCGCTCGTGTCCGATGTAGACACGATGCAAGTTAATGTAGCTTTCTGATGCTGCGTTTGAATTTTCATGCCACATTATTTGAAATTAGTGTGGGCCAAACTTTTTTTCTCTCACGGGCCGGATGTGGCCCGCGGGCCGCCTATTGAGGAACCCTGGGCTAGAGACACTGCCCCTGCTGGCCATACTGTGGCAGAGCAGCTTTTAGCTTACCCTTGACTTTAATGCCCTAGGACTGCTTCAGTCTAGATTGCTGTTGTACCAAATCATAGAGGCTTTGTTGATATATGCAATCTTTAACAAATGTAAACTGAAACATTGAAGAATCTGTCAAATAAAGGTTGTGTGCATTTATGTGTGTATATATGTGCTTCCAGGTTTTTTTCTCTCAAGGTCTCTCTAAAGTGATTAGTTTATTATAAAAAATTATTTTAATTTGTTTGTAGATATATGTAATTACAGTAACAACATTATCTGTCTGTCACCAGGTGATGACACCATGACTGGTGATGGTGGAGAATATTTGAGAGCAGAGGATTTGAGAGAGTTAGGAGATGACTCTCTACCTGGGCAGTACCTGGATGGCATGAACTACTTGCGCTTCAGTTTAGAAGGAGGCCAATCAGACAGGTATGTTAGTTTTGATACTTAATTAAATACAAGTTGATAAATACGGTTATACTTGTTTTCTAAAACCTGCTAATTTATTTGTAACTCACTTATTCTTCTTTCTGCTAATGCTGACATAGTCGCTTACAAAGGTATGTGAGGAACTCTGCACTCTCTACATATCAGTGTGTCTTAAAGATGATCCACTATTTTTGTTCGAATACAGTGTATTTTGAGAGCTAGTTGCTACTGGATGGATGTATTTTTATCAGTAATGATACTTTGATACGATGGCTTTGACACAGTCTGTATTCTATAGACCAGTTTGGAGTAGACGTCACAGTTACGTCACATGCAGCTGCGCATGCATTGTGGTGGCAGAAAAACACTGGGAACAAGTGGAGGGAAACGGGTAAAATCCATGGAATAAGAGAAAAAAGTTATTGTTGTGCCTTTGGATGTCAGAATCGGAATACAAATAATTTTTATAGAATACTGTCATCAAAGACACCATTTGAAGCTAAACGCAGACATTTAAATGGACAGACTATGGATGAAACCTGCTATGATTACCCTACTTTTAAAGCATAAATTTGATTTAAACAATAGCTCTACATAATATTCACATATGCAGTTCATAGGGAAAATATTGTATTAGTCCTATTACAGCATGAAATACTATTAAATCTATAACATTTACCTATTTTATCTCACAATTCTTTTTTTTTCCTCACAAATGCAAGTTTATAGCTCCTATTTCGGACTTTATAACTCAATTTAACTCAACAATTGCAATTTTGTCAATTCTGAGGGGGAAAAAAGCAAGAAGTGTGGGATTTAAACTCATGATTCTGAGCCGAGGGGAAAAGAGAGAATGACGAGTTGATTTTTTCTTATCAGAATTGTGAAATATAATCTTGGAATTGCGAGAAAAAAAGTCAAAATTTTGAAATACAAACTCAAATTTACCTTTTTCATTATTTTATTCCATGGCTTCCATAGACTGCTACTTTAAAACGTCTCAGGTTACTTATGTAACCATGGTTCCCTGAGTAGGGAACGAGACACTGCGTCCTCTAGGGGTCACTATGGGGAACGCCTCGTCGTGACCCGTGTCTGAAGCATACATTGAAAAAACACCAACAACACGTTGGCCGGCGACAGCCCATGACATCACTACCGGTGCGACTATAGTATAAATAAGCGCCGGGAGCTACACATCATTCACTTCTTCGTCTGAAGACAGAGGACCTACCTTAGAGAGGACAGAAACACACAGGTCCCGGAAAAACACTGCAAAGAAATCTCACAGAAGGATTATACACACATAACCACCAGCACATTAAATACATATATATATACACATATACAGGGTTTGAAATTAACACCCGCCAACCTGCGAAATGCGGGTAAAAATCAGCTGTGGCGGGTAACGCTGTCAAATCACTAGCCAATTTGTCTCTACAGGGGAATTATAGGGGAATTACTTATAGGGGAATTACTGTAGGAAGGGGAAGAAAAGGGCAGATGTGAAACCCCCGAAGGAAATGAGTAGATACTCAAGTATCACTCTGATCTGTGCTCTTCGCCCAAACAAATAACTCATAGATCGTGTGTGTCATCAGATGTTAATCAACGACAACACGGATGCACACATCCTCTAAACGTTCTGCGAGTGCTCCATTTTCTGCCACCAGATAGACTCCGCCCACAAAAAAAGTCATCACTGTTTGCAAACACCAAATTGGTCTATAAAGTGCTATATAAATAAAGGTAACGATGACAACCTATTGATTGGTGTTGTGTATACTGTATGTTTTTCTTTAGTTTGGATAGGTCCTACACACCCACTTACCAAAGACACTTCCCTGTAAAACATTATGGGATGATGGAGGATATGATATATAGTAACCAGGTAAAGTTGAGGATTTTTTTTTTAGTAGTATTTATTTATTATTATTATTGTTATTATTATTATTATTATTATTATTATTGTAAAATAATGTTTTATATGATGGCTTTTATTTGTGATACCAAGTGGTGGCCTTATAGAATTGATATGATTAATGAACAGATTAGTAAACCTTTTCTTTTTAAATAAATATACAGGTTTTTACAGATTCTGGCTTCTTGAATTCTGCATTTCAAGTCTGCATTAGTAGATAAAACCCCAGTTTTAACAAAGATGCCTATATTCACTCCAGGTGTCTTCTCTTGCAAGAGAAAATGAAAAGGAATCATATAGCTGGGAAATGGAAAACTTGGACAACATAGCACTGTCCTCAAGTCCTGCTCATTCCAGGTATGGAAAACAACTGCATGCTCTCTATCAAACACACTCTTACTCACACATACGAATACTGAAACTCTTTGTATTAACGGTCAACATGGAATCAAAATGGACTCTTATTTATTTATCTTATTTATATGTTACTGGTCTTATTGGTATTGCCTTGGTATTATTATTATTTATTTATTTTTAAATATGCATATATATTCTACACACATTTTTAACAACCAGAAACTTGTAGAATGGTGGCCTTGAAAATGCAAAGTTACTATATCATTTCTCACTTACTGTAAGTTCACTCATTCACTTTCTCAGAACTTTCTCAAACATTCTCTCTTTCTGACTTTTTCTCTCTGATGGATGGTATTTTTGGTCTTCAGCCGTTGTTCTCCATGTCATGACCATGACAATAGCAGGTGACTGCAACGTGTCATTTGACCTCAGAGCACAAGGATCACTTAATCTGCCATCTTCTTGCTATGCCTCTTGGAATATTACAATTTGTATACCCTAAAGATGCCAAAAGGCACTGCAAGTTTGAAGTCATCTGAATGTTATTTGTCATTTCACAAACATGTATTTAAGACTAACACAGTATTTGTCTGTTTCTCATTAATTTTTTGAATCATGGATTTTGTGGCAGACAAAACTTATACAGTATAATGTGATATTACACCATTACTGTAACATGTTACCGTAACATAACATACTTTTAAGATATTATTATTATTATTATTATTATTATCATCATCATCATCATCATCCAGGCATTAGTTGTTTATACCATTGCTATGAAGCCAGACTTAGCATAGAACAAGAAAAGAACAAATTATACAACAAAAAATAGAATACAATAAGACAAATGATTAATTGAAATTTAAATGTATCAAAGATACGTACATACAATACAAATTGAGCCATAAATAAAAATAAAGCATTTTCTTTGAAAGAACAATAGTAGATTATGCATTTTGTTTCAGGAACAAAAAATGGTCAATGATTGTTTGTTTTGTGCTGACCTGCATTCTGTGAGGGTTGAGTTTAAGGAATAAGAAAACTTGTGTTGGTGTACAAAGATCCAGGTTAACTACTGAAAGTCAATAAAGTGCATTACCATAAACAGCAGATAGTGATTGCATAAGAATTTTTATTATATATACATCAACAGAAGTTTCATATACATAAACATGGACATTTTTGTTTGCTGTGCATGTTGTGTCTCTAGGATTGTATATCCAAATCACATTTCCAGACAGGTGTTGTGTGTGTTTGCATGAAAATCAAACACTGATATATGTTGTTTTGATAATGTTTTTGCATTTGAATATCCAACTGGATCTCATAGGTATTTATATGTATTTTACCTTGTGTGGTTCTACATACATTTACTTACGTTTGCATAGACAATAAAATGTACAATATTACCGTATTGATTGCATCTGAAACATTGCTTATTTACACATGAAAAACTGTATAGGCATACACATTTACAAACCATTATTTATGAATATTGAATTAATGGAATTAATTGGTTGATACTATTGTATTTATGATGATGGAGGTTATGATTTCAATTGCGTTTGTTTAATGCAGTTGCTCATTTAATTTCTCCATTGAACTCGATTCAAATTAAATTTTAATCAAGCCGTCACTTTAAAACCTAAAAATGAATAACATTTTTGGAATTGTTTAACCATTACTTACATATGGTTGCTGTAGGATACAAAATAAGTGTCAATACGCTGTGAAAAGCGTGAAATGCACCAAAAGCCAAACATAACCTGATCAAATTCAAGCTTTTATTTTTAAGAAAATTACATTTTTCTGTTTTGTTACATTTTATACATTATTTTATACACTCTGTAACAGTGGTTTCCATTGATGTATGGTTTGTTAGGATAGGACAATATTTGGCCGAGATTTAAAAACAACTATTTGAAAATTTGAAAAAATCAAAATACTGAGAAAAACAAAAGTTGTCCAAATGAAGTTCTTGGCAATGCATATTACTAATCAAAATTTGAGTTTTAATATATTTACAGTAGGACATTTACAAAATATCTTTATGGAACATGATCTTTACTTAATATCCTAATGATTTTTGGCATGAAAGAAAAATCAATAATTTTGACCCATACAATGTTTTTTTGGCTATTGCTACAAATATACCCCAGCAACTTAAGACTGGTTTTATGGTCCAGGGTCACATTTCAGTATCTATCCAAACATACAAAAAAATATTTTGTACAAGTAAATGTTATGTGCTAATAAATACTTGTAAACAATGAGACCAGGCTGGAATATCATGATCATCTTTCGAAGTGACTTGTGATTTCATGACATGCATATGGTTTCCATCAAGTGCTTCTTTATTAAATGTTACTAAACTCTTACTTCATCTGAATATATGATGCCTTTTTAAAATTCATTTTAACATTGTACGTCCTCAATGCAGTTTCTTAGTAAGCTTCATGGTGGATGCCCGTGGAGGTGCCATGCGTGGATGCCGCCACAATGGTCTACGACTGATCATTCCACCGCGGAAATGCAGTGCCCCTACTCGAGTCACCTGTAGACTGGTGAAAAGGCACCGACTGGCAACCATGCCCCCCATGGTAGAGGGTGACGGTCTAGCTAGCAGGCTGATTGAGGTTGGACCCTCTGGAGCTCAGTTCCTTGGGTAAGCATGAGTTTGTTCGTGGATCAGAGTGTTGGATAGTAAAATCCAGACACAAGATTATGTGTATGATTGTAGTTCCTCATTGCTATTTAAACTCTGAATATTATCTTTTTTCATATTGATTATTTAAATGATCAGAATATGAGATGCTGACTTTTAATCAATACTCAAAGTAGTCTGGTGCACTGGGCTACACTGGAACAATTCTTGCACACCAGTAAACCTGTACTTTCTGTCCAAAATAATTATTTTAGATCTGAAGGGACCATCTAATCTACATATTAAACCACCCATCACACTTTGCTTGTTTTTAAGTGACATTTAGGGGTGGGTAATAGACTAAAGTACATTGAAAATGGTATTTCAGCAAACGTGATAAAATCTTTACTTCCAATTATACCCCACAAATTGATTGATATATATTTAAACCATGCACTTTTAATTTAAACCCATGACTGTTTCCCTCAAGCATATCTTTTTGTGATAATGTTCTGAAGTTGATGTGCTTTTTTCCCTTTTAGCTTTCATGTATATAATTCCACTTTTACTTAATACTGAAACATACTTAGAATTGCAGTGGATGCATTTTACTGTTGCTAGGAAAAATAGGGAAAACTACTGTAGTAGATCTAGACTTGTGGTGCTGGGGTGGAGGAGGGATAAAGACATGCAGTATTGAGTTAGACCAGGTTGGGGTGGAAATAAATAAGGTTGCGTAGAAAGGAAAAATTGGTTTGATAGATTTGACTGTGTTGCCAGCTTGGAAGACCCAGTCAGCTACCCAGGAGAGTTTCATGACTGAACTATGCATTAGTTTTAATTCCAAATTAGATAAAAGGGTGTTTACAGTGTAAAATAACAATAAACTGTAAATAATTATTATTAGTAGTATATGTAATAAGACTAATAATATGCAAAGGTAGCATTTTTCCACTTTTAACACTGCTTTAATGGAATATTGTACAGTGTTGTCATGGACTTCTTTGCTGCTTTTATTAATCACCTCCTATCAAAATGGCTGATGTTGCCCCTGCTTTTCTGTATTAAGGTGGTTGTAACACCTTAATTTTTGTTTATTATTATTTTATTATTTATTTATTTTGCTAAATGGCTTGCAGTGAAATTTGTTGTACTAGCGAAAATTAATCCTTCTTAAATTGCGCCATGATTGATTTTTATATGTTTTTCCCTTGCTGACTAACAATTGATGTATGAAAATCTGCATAAAGTATAGTGCAAGTACAGGGCTGTGTCTAAAATTGCCCCACATCCTTTTATAGAGCCTTAACAAGACATATTCCACAGAAGTCACTATGCTTCCTAATAAACTGTAAGAGATGTCAGGATGAGGGCTTTTGTTCATTAGGCTGGCCACACACTTGAAGATTTTAAGGCTGATTGTAAGCCCGATTTGCACCTCTAAATGATCGAAAAAATGTTGAAAAAATACTCTATTGTGTGGTGTCATCGTTCCTACAATCAACAAGTGTGTGGAATGTAAGAATGTAGAACCTGACTCAATATGAGGTGCCTAACATGCACCAGGGGGACACAACCTGTTGTAACCACAACGTTGCAGTCGTTGAATCCTGGACATGTGTTACTCTCCAGCAGCCTGTGGCAGTCGAATTAGGCAGAAGCTAATGAGGCCTAGTACTCATTATGCATGCCTTTCAGTCAGCCCGTGTAGGTGCTCCATATGTAGTCATTCCCTATTGGTAATCCCATATGATGTATTGTCCATTGTATGGATTCCCTGATGGTAAAGCCATTTCTTCCCATAGTTAGAGCTTTGACTCTGACACCAGTCACTGCATTTGTAGTAGTTCCTCCCTTTTCAGGTAGGACCTACCTTAGGGACAATCCATGTGTGGTACTTTCCCAGGGGATAAGTCCATGTGATGTATTCTCCACATATTAACTTCACTTTGGGCAAGATGTGGTCTCCGTAGCTTTCCTTCTCCCATTTGGGAGGAAGAGCACTTCCCTAATACTCTGTTCTGCAGACAACTGTCGGAAAAAAGAAGAACAGAAAAGATCAAAAGTCCGGCTGAAGCGACCTATTACCATTGTAAGTACTTTTCTTTCAGGCCTGGTGTAGTACAAAGGACTACACAGCTTACGTGGGGCATTGGGAATGTTACGATGCAGCCGAGTGCACTTGTTACCCAGCACACAGTAGATTACCAAAACCTGCTCACCTTGAACCTTGTAACTCAGTGGTTGTGGCACTTTCCATGGGGACTCCTAATGTCAGTAGTTTAACACTACAACAGTTTCTTGGTTACTATTTTAACCTCCATTCCCTGATGGAGGGAATGAGATGTTGTGTTCCTCCTGCCATAACACAACATAACAACAATCAGGAAATGGAGGTTACAATAATAAACAAGGCCATTTTCATTTTGGGTGGAATATCTCTGTAAGGCATCATTGCGAGGAACATGAGTGAGAAAAGTGTCATTCAAAATGCACGATTGAACTGTTGTTTGTCCAAAACGTGTAACATGGTGGAACCGACAGAGCAGAATCTCAAGGACAACGAGGAGAAGCCTTTCTTTTGGGGGGCACAACTGTTGATATGCTTTTACTATACATCAATGGTCCAAAACCATTCTTCAATTTAACCATTCTGAAAATGAGAGAACGTACAGTCTGACTGGATATAAGGGGCCCATCATGCATCATAGGGGCAGGGGTAATTGTTGTAATTAGAGGAACCATTATTGTGATCAAGTAGGCAATGTTGCCTGCTTTTACTTGCAGTCATACAAACTTGAGAAGGCCATCATGTTCAAGTGTCCATAAATTCCATAAGACTGCAGAGTTGTCATGAATCCGGTCCATGAACTTCCGTCTGCTAGCCATCAGAGGTCACCCTTTCCATTTTCATTGACTCTCGCACTACACACTGTTGCATATCACCCCGGACTACATATCCCATCATTCATTGCACTGATTGCACACAGCACTGATTGCACACAGCTGTTTCATATCACTCACTCACTATATAACACTCACTCAAACAACCATTCTCTGCCGAGTATTGCTTAGGACATTGGCCAGGTATGGACACGACAAGAATTTTATTAGCCCTTAAACAGGGTCCACGGTCATTGGAGAACCATATTCGAGAGTTTTTAGCAATCGCTCACTATTCTGATTTACCAGAATGTTTAATGATAGAGTTTTTCTGCGATGGCATAAATCAATCTCTTCGGTCTAAACTTAGACACGAGGGTCCACGTTCATCACTCGCTCAGTTAATGGATTGTGCCTTGTTGACTGTTGGATCTTTGTTTACTGTGGGTGTCGCGGAGGAAGAACGCGACACAGTGTCTGTGACTGAAGTGGCGGCTGTACCAGAGCACGCTCACAAAATGGCGGCGACAGCGGAGCCTGATCGCAAAATGGCAGACACAACAGCGCCCCGTTATGTCACAGCTGGACCTACGCTAGCCCTAGGACTATTCTTGTGTCTTGCCCGCCATATACCTGTTTGCCACCGTTTGACCCTGCCTGTGTTTCTGACCTCCTCTCATGTTAATAAAGCTTGCATATGGATCCGCACGTCTCACGTCTTGTCAGCCCCGTTACAAGAGTGTCCCATCTGTCCATTTAGGTTTCAGAAGTGTTCTCTCAAGTGCCCCCTTGAGATTATGCATGCCATTTGGGACAGGGTTATAGATTCCTTTACCATTGTCCTAAACTAGGAAATAATTACAATAGTAGTTGCTGATTACATTTATATCACCAACAAAATAATAATAATAAGAATATAATAAGAAGAAAATACTAGCATTTGACAATTAATGAGGCAGTGTCAAAATAATCACGTATTACATAATTTTTTTTTAAAAGGTAATGTACTCTTACTAGTTATTAAATACAAAGAGGAATTTAAAATGTGACTTTTTTTTGTCAGAAAAAATAAAATTCTATTCTAAATGGAAATGGATCTACAAAGCAAACTCGACAATATGCCACCTATGCTCTCTTTTCTCACTGCTGCTATTGGATGACAGTAAGCTCCACCTCCCTACTGCCCCGCCCCCTCTGAATGAGGGTGAGAGTTTGGTTAGCCACATTCTGCAACTGGGCCCACCAGGGACAAAATTTCTGGGGTAGGAGTGACACATAAAACAACCAATGGATGCCAGTCCCACTCCCTACTTTCTCCTTTCACACGATCTTCCTTTTTAATTGTGTTGTATTTGGTTGTATTTTGCTTTTATTGTAAAGTGGCTCTGTATAGTAGTGTATGTTACCATAGGTGCACCCTAGTGTCATTTTTATTTTATTTTTTAATTACTCATGATTGTTTCCAAACTTGTTGAAACTGATCAACAAATTATGTATATACTTGTGTACTTCACCATCAAAATTTCACAAGTTTGGGAAATTCATGACCAAAAAAACATTCCCTAGTCATACTATTTGTAGTGATTTGTCATACTATTTGTAGTGAAGTGTGTTGTTCTACGTCATCTATATGTGCTTCCTTTTGCTCCTTTAAATGAATGTTTGTACGCAGCTTTTTGTGCTCATCTTTTTTTCTTTTCTTTTTTTGCCATTTGCTGAGTTATTTTTGTTGCAGCATGAGTTTCAGTTGTGTGCATTTTTAGGTATAAACATAACATGAATATTGTTATATATATATGGCAGCTATGTTATAGTATGTTTGTACATTCTAATGAAATAAAACAATAAAAAGACAATATAATACACATTATTTATGTATAGTCTACATGATATAGACTTTATTGGATCCAGTTGTTGCTGATCTTTGCAGTTACCATTACTGAACAAGAGAAAAGTAAATATAATAGGAAATTTATCATTCCCATTTCTGTATATTATTAGGCCAATTTCATTATATTAAAACAGCAAGCCTCTCAAGGCCATTTGTTACAGTGACTTCAGAGCAAAATTTATTAGCCTAACTGTAGATGATTTAGTAAATATATAGACTTTGTACATAAGTATTTAATTCAAAACACATAAACACACATTTACACATGTTTTTATGAATAACATTCTTTAACTTCCTGATGGGCGTTAGGCCGGTGATTGTGGAGATCCCTCACTTTGCGGCTCTAAGAGGAAAAGAGAGGGAGCTGGTGATCTTACGCAGTGAAACGGGAGAGAGTTGGAAAGAGCATCATTGTGAGTACACAGAAGAAGAGCTCAACCAGATCCTCAACGGCATGAATGAGGGTGAGAAAAAACAAACAAACACATAATCAACATATAAGCATAAAATGAATATGACCAATACAAATGATAACCTTCCTTTTTTCTAACATAGGGTCACGCAGGTCTAAACAATTTCCATTTTCACTCATTTGAATGGTCCCTTTCTCATTGGCTGCCCTATACATTGTTTACATCTTCATTTTTTTTAGGACTGGACCCACCAGAAGAGTTGGAGAGAAAGCGAATCTGTCGCATTATCACTCGGGATTTTCCACAGTATTTTGCTGTGGTGTCACGAATTAAGCAGGACAGTAATCTCATTGGTCCAGAAGGTGGAATTCTGAGTAGCACAGTGGTCCCTCAAGTACAGGCTGTCTTCCCAGAGGGAGCTCTCACTAAACGCATCCGTGTTGGCCTGCAGGTAGCATGGAGATTAAATAAAACATATTACAATGTAGAACCATAGTGCACACAGCTGTATTTTAGTTTAGTTATCGATTTTATTTTATTTATCAGTTGCTGCTGTTCATTTTTCTATAACATTATAATAATGTTAAAGTTATAATAATGTTATAACAGTCATCTTTTTTTCTATCCATTTAATGTCACAATATTTTGTTTGATTTCTACTAGTTTTCAGAGTTTAAGCTTGGTTTTAATAATCAGTAATTAAATTTATAGTAGAAATAGTACAATGTACTTTCAGTGTGCCACTCTCTTTTTGTTTTTACTTAAAAGTTTAAGACAAAAGTTACAAGTTGTCAAATTTACATAATAGTTATTTTTAAATGACATTTTAGTGCTATATTATGTAACTGAGCTGATGAGCTATCACAGGCATTCTGTTGGTAACAGTTGCAATATTTAAACACATTTTGAACAGATGACAATGAGATACAATGTGTTACTTTAAATTATTAATTTGCTCTGAACCTATCATTGTGATAGTTGTATTCATTATTGCCTTTGCTTTTTGGCCAGGCTCAACCAATGTGTGTTGATGTAGTAAGGAAGAATTTGGGTAATAAAGCCACATTCAGCCCTATAGTCACTCTGGAACCGCGGAGGAGGAAATTCCATAAACCCATAACCATGACCATCCCTGTCCCGAAGAGCTCCACTGACCCAATCCTTGGCGGCTTTGGAGGTGGAGATACTCCTACATTACGTTTGCTATGCAGCATCACAGGTGAGAAAGTACACAGGAATATACAGAAACAAAACAAAATGCTTTTCATTCTATAGGTTGCACAATATGCATTAAAAGCGTATTAATCCTTAATCAATATGCAGAGACAACTACACAGGAAGTAAGCCATTCATAGGTTAAGTATAACAATGTAGCACTACAACCAGTGGCATGGGTTAAGTCATTTAGGACATTGTGTAGAGCCTAGAATAATCTACTTGTACTGAGCATGATGATGCACTTCTGATTTGAAATTAAAAAGACTTACCAATTTCTGGTTATATAATAAAAAAAAGTGACGTGACATGTGGCAAAGTATGGTTACCCATACTAGGAATTAGTGCTCTGCATTTAACCCATCCTAAGTGCACACACACAGCAGTGAACACATACACACCGTGAACACACACCCGGAGCAGTGGGCAGCCATTTATGCTGCGGCGCCCGGGGAGCAGTTGGGGGTTTGGTGCCTTGCTCAAGGGCACCTCAGTCGTGGTATTGAAGGTGGAAGAGAGCGCTGTACATTCACTCCCCCCACCTACAATTCCTGCCAGACCTGAGACTCGAACTCGCAACCTATGGGTTACGAGTCCGACTCTCTAACCATTAGGCCACAACTTCCTATTATATGTCTAGAATGTGCAGTTGTTGTTGTAGTTCCTGAATCTACACTTAAAATTACTGTTTGGAAGATGATTGTACAGTCTGTACAGTTTACAGAGGGGAAGACGACTTAAAAAAATTGCATGATATAAAAATAAATATAAGAAGACAAACCAGAGACCAACAAAACAAAGATCAAGAAAACCATTAAAAATCTTTTGAAAATACCAAAAATATTGTTGCTAAATTTAAAAACATGTTTGAATTTTGAAACCAAAGATGATTTTTGCATGTTTAGGTGGGACCACTCCTGCTCAATGGGAGGATATCACTGGGACTACACCATTAACATTCACCAATGACTGTGTGTCTTTCACCACAAACGTGTCTGCCAGGTATTTTTTCAATAAGCATTGCCTGGTGGAGCACTACTCAATATATGTTAAAATTCATGTACACTATTTTGTCTTTTTGATTGGAAAAGACGCAACAAGTTTATTCTTTGATTTTGAATGACAAATGTTCCTGTTCTAACTGCCAATCCTCATTGAAGCCCACATACAAACAATAAATGAATTAATGAATAAATAAATTAATTAATTAAAATAAGCACTAATATATCCCATATTTTCTTCATCAGATTCTGGCTTTTAGACTGCAGGCAGGTGCAGGAGTCGGTGAACTTCGCCACTCAGGTGTATCATGAGATCATCTGTGTACCTTACATGGCCAAATTCGTCATCTTTGCCAAAACACATGACCCTATTGAGGCTCGATTGCGCTGTTTCTGTATGACTGGTGATAAAATGGACAAAACTTTGGAGCAGCAAGAGCACTTCACAGAAGTGGCACGTAGCCGAGATGTGGAGGTGAGTCATAGGTATTGCTACACTGGATTCTTGTTAATATGCTTCAGTGCAGTCCAGTCAGATATTTCTGTCTAAAACCGTGGTTCCCAACCAGTTGTCCTTGAATGGTAATTGATTTGGAGTTTATTTCAATGAAGTGATTTCAATTATACACACCTTTTAAACGCGTTATTATTGTAAAAAATGTGACTGGTTTATGTGATCGACAAGCTGAGAGACCACATCAAAGGAAGGAGGAAGTTATTATCAGAAAAGAAGTAATTATCAGCTGGTTCCAATCATTTGGAGCATTCCAAGAAACTACATATGAAAAGTTTTTATATAAAGCCTTATTGGGCTGTTTGCAGTGATTTTTACCACATATAAAAAGTTGTTCCTAATAAAAAGAATACCATGAATACTTGCATTAATTGATCTAACTAATTGAAATTGTTGTTCGGAATAGGAATTCTACATAGTTTGTGTGTTCCACATGCTGTGTTAGCTGTAAAAATTAAGTGTAAAGTGTTGTAAAGTGTAGCAACTTGGCGCAACTTGACAGAATAGACTGCCTGTTTTTACACTTACGGGTTTACAGCAGCTTCAGGCATGTCTCATATTTGTAAGGGAGCATTTAAATTACAGGGAATTTAAGATAATAACAAATTTATTGTTTTACAGCTGATCAAATGAATCATCTCGCAATCAGTTGAACTGGCCATAATTATCATCTCTGAAATGATATTACTTTTGTTGACCACCAAGAATAATAGTTCATTGAAATCACCATTTATTAGTAAGGTAACGGGATTAAAACACGGGATGTAGGCACAGTCTTAACTTGTAAGACATTTCTCTTTAAATACAGAAAATACTTTATTAAAAAAGTAATTGTATTTATTCTAATACTTGAAAACTGCATGCTAAACAATGCATGCTATTTCATAGACCTGAACCGAACAAACCATCCATTAGTAATTGAGTCAGAAACTAAGGCTTTGGGGCAAAACTTAACTTAGACTAGACTAGGTAGATGACTTAGATTGACATACTGCTGGACTAGACCCAACTAGACTAATGATTAATTTGTGTCACAAGTGTGACACAAAAAAATGACACAATAGTTTTGTGTTATCAACTATTCTGGTTGACCAACCTCCAGAGGGGTTCTGACCTGTTTAGTTTAGGGTGTAACTAGGTAACTTTGTTCTCCTCCCCTCTCATTAATCAACATGTTATCTTCTCAGTCACATGGTCCTAATTTTCCCACTCTTGCTGTGTGTAATTTAGTAATGATTTCTATAATAAGAATAGGATACATTTTTACCCAAAATTGATTGACATCAACATTTGGGAAATTATTTAACAATCACACACACACACACACATGTTTGAATGGGTTTTTAACATAGAGACTGTTATTATGTTACATCCTAGGTATTAGAAGGAAAGCCAATCTATGTAGACTGTTTTGGAAACCTGGTTCCTCTAACAAAAAGTGGCCAGCATCATATCTTCAGCTTCTATGCCTTTAAAGAGAATCGACTGGCTCTTTTTATCAAAGTAAGTCAACTATGAGGCATTTATATATCTGAAGAATTAGAATTGGATCCATACAAAGGTTTAACTGCACAATTGGTGACTCTCTTGTAGATACGAGACAACACTCAAGAGCCTTGTGGACGTTTGTCCTTCACAAAAGAGCCGAGATATTATAGGACTTTGACTCATAGTGCAATATGCAATTTAAACATCACCCTGCCAGCTTACTCAAAGGTAAGTTCATGACATATGCTATTACTGACATTACAAAGCTGCAAAATGCATTTTCCAGTGAAATTTCATCATTTTTTTTGTGATTGTTTGTTTTGTCAGCTTTTATGGCAGGTTTGCATGCATTATGTTCATTTTGTTGCCATCATATGAGTGTTTCAGACCACAGTATCTACATAGTTTTATATAAACTTTAACTTGTGAGTAACTTTATCAGACATAGTTGAAGCACCACAAAATTGAATTGGTCTATTGCACAACTCATTGTTGTGGTTATTTGGAAGGCCTCGTCATTGGAGCCATCTTTTCCATTTATTTCTTCATTTTATTACCTTATTTAATATTATTATTATTATAGTGTATTGGGGTTAATAACTGATAAATGCTTTTATGCATTTCTGTTGCGTCTAACCCCTGTCACACCACACCTCACTGGCTGGCCTCAGACATGTTCTGTTGCTGTGATAACTGCTTTGCCTGCTCTCTCTGTCCCCTTCTGTCTTTCTTGTACCTCTGTCCTTTCTATCTTCTGCCGATCTCTTCCTCTTTTGCTGCTTTTTTCTCCTCAAAGGAGTCAGATTCAGATCAAGAACCTGATGAGGAGGTAACTGCAATTTTGCACTTTAATTAACAAAATGTCCTTTGCTTTCCCCCATTATCTCAGTTCAAAACTCCACGCTCCACTCTTGTAGTACTAGTACAGTACTAGTACAGTAGTACTAATAACTCTATTACTTGTGAACAGTAATAGAGAAAATGTTTTGAAAACCTTAGAATCTCATGAATGGCTCCTTAAATTTTTTTTTTAGTAGTCATTCATGCATAAATTACAGATCATTCCACAGGGTTTACACACATTTTCTCATAACTATATATTGCTTGCTGTACCAGCTGTCATAGAGGTAATGTCAGCATCCAGACAACTATGGGGTCAAATAGCATGAAAACAGATAGTAAATTGGCAGTTTTAAGCTACAAATAGGTATATGTCTGTTACTGCATAGCATTTATACAACTGAATCTTCTTCTCCTGTATTTTTTTTTTCTTTACAGACAAGCAGGACACTTGAGAAATGTAAGATGTCTAGTTTAATTAAAATATGTTGTCTTGCACCAGACACCTTTCCACTTAACTTCCTAAATAATTATTTGTCTTGAGTGAGTTAGATAAGCAAGAAAAAAAAATTTTAAAGCACAGAGAATGACAATGCTGTGAAGAGTTTTTGACATAGGCTAATTTTATGTGTATGTATACGCAACTCGGTATTTCCGCGCTGTCTGAAACCCGTCTCTATGGTTGTGCGCGCTTTGATTGTGTGCGAGAACAGCGTGTGAGTAACAATTTGAGCTCTCTTTCGTTTCTTCTTCTTGTGGTTTAAAATTGCTTGTACGTGTAAATTGGCAAATTAATCTGCGAATCACGTGCGTGCCGAACGGTAGGGTCTCATCCGTACGTATTACGGATCAACTGCGATCCGTTTAAATGTGACAGATCAGAGCAATCTTTCATTTACTTATTTAACATGACATTGTCAAATTGCCACTCCATCTCAATGGCATACAAAGAAAATACAGAATAATTAGAACAATCATTAACATAAATAAATAACAGAGTGTCATATCTATACACATTTTTCTCAGAACGTAGGCCTACTTGCAACCCGGTAGTGGGTCACGACCCGGTGGTTGCGGGGACCTCTGCTTTAGTGTAATGATTCTCACATGTCTTTCACATTCCTTTGTACATCACAACATAAATGATTATCAAATTAGGGTCTATATAAATTATATAAAATGGGTTCATTTTGCTATTGAAAATGCAATTTTTAACAGTAAATTTCTATAAGACTTCAAAGGTACACTATGTAACTTTTTTTTGTTCAAAATTTAAACTTGATATGAGCGAGTACATCATGAATCCATCTACTAAAATGTGTTTTTGTCTTTGTCTGAATGACTTAGGTATGCCTATAATAAGTGTTTATATTGGGACTATTTTAGACCGAGCAGGATGCCAACCACTGTGGAGTAGCCCAGTACTCAAAGTAGCTCTGGCTACAATGTTCTTTCACAAGATGCATTTATTATTTTTTACATAGTGTACTTTTGAAAATTGTATCAAACATTTATCTTTAGGTGTTAATTAATTGCATTGTGTTATATATATATATATATATATATATATAACACAATGCTTTTGAAAACTTTTTATGAAATGTTTTTAATACGTCGGAAACTGTATTTAACGTGATCACAGTTTAATAAAAACATTGTACATTAGGCCTATTAATTGTAATGATTTCATTTCCACGGTTATTCAAACAACGAATAAATTATATAGAGAAAGCGAGCAAAGAACACAA